CAGTTAATGACTGCTGGTTAAACAGACTTCTAGGTTTTAGATTGAAATGCCTGCAGCTCAGAAAGCTTTCAGACGTGTCTGATTCATCGATGGCCGACTCTAACCTGACATGATTCAGGGCAGACAGGAAACCAAAACCAAGTCAGGTGAGATTGTTTGTCCTTCATGAGACTGAATTATGTTGGTGAGGAAGAAACGGCGATGACAGCCGGGAACCTTCAGGTGATGAGTTGACTGGACTGGACTTTGGAAGAGGAGGAAAGTTTGATATTGGCACCATTAGAGTCTGTGGTTGAAGAGTTGAAGCCTTTCAGGAAGGAAGGTGAAAGTTCATCCTTCTCAGACACGTTTGATGCAGTTCAGGTTTAAATCAGGAATGTTTTACTCTGCTGAAGGTTTTCACAGGGATTCAGACATGCTGAACATTTACAGTTTTACTCTTTTTTTAATTCTCTGACTTTAAATTTCGGTTTTTGTGTCATTTTCTGACACTTTTCCTTTGGACCACATGTCAGTTCTGACCCTGCAAAGTATTTTATGTGGCCCTCTAGACTCTAAACAGCTGTGAGTTTAAATATAATTTTATCAATAAAATTGAAGCTGTTTTTCTGTATTCTGACAAATCCTATCAATCAGTTTCTTTCACGATTGAGAAATCCACACAAAATCAACAGATTCCCCATTTTTTTTGCATTAAGGTATTTTATCCTGCTGCAATTTTTCCTCAGAAATGGTTAAAGACATTACTAACTCCCACCTGCAGGTGGCAGTAATTCTTACTTCTACTAAACTACAGCCTCAACTTTACTTGAATTCAAGTTGCAGTCCATGATCAATAACAGAAGGTAACAAAAAGTTACATTTTCATAAAATATTGCAAAATTTCTCATTTTGAATGTAAAAAAAGTCACAAAAATTGTAAAAAAAAAATTCCTGCAGGAACTAATTAGTGTGAAAAGATGTTAAATGTTATTTAATTTTAAGATGAAATTGTTGAATGCAGAGACTGTTAATAATATTTTAACAGTTAAGAGATTTTTATCAATTCATTCTGGCACAACCGGCCCTTTAAAACATTCACCCACGTTTGACACTCCGGCCTCCGACTGTCTGATCGTCTGACATCTGGGAGCCTCACTTGGTTTGTTGGAAAGTCCAAAAGGCTTCAGCAGGATCAATGACCTGACAAACAGCCTGAATGACTGTGTGTCGAACCACCATCATCAGAAATATGTTAACATCTAATAAAAGCCAAATGATTCCTGCTGAAGGGTCAGACATAAAAGTCTTCCTGATCTTTGCAGAAAAAGTTTTAAGGTCAGTTTGAAGTAGATGCAAAGTGAAAACATGCTGAAGGATTGTCAGAGAAGCTGTTAGACGAACAGGAACCAGATTTATTTGGGTGAACACATGGATTTCATCATTCAAAGAACGGTGTGTTGAGATTTGAGGAAAGGAAAAGAAAGGGACCTTTTGAATTTTTAACTTTTGATCTTCTTGTGTATTTAAAAAAAATGTTTTCAGTATGTTTAGTTTGATTCGGGCATTGATCTGGGCAGCTAAAGTCCCTAAAGCTCCAGTCAAAGCAGGTCTTGAACCAGAATCTTCTGGTGGCTTTTTATGTGTTCACAACATTTTAGGAGAAAATCCAGTTTATAAACTTAAAGGGCAGCGAATGAAAAGGCCGAGCGTTTTGTTTTTACATGGGAATGTGTAAGTACTATTGTGATGAGAGAGAGTAGAAGTACACAAAATGCTTAGATTTATAAATCATACAAGCAGAGCAAAAACAATGGACAGGAAAAAGGTTAACATCCATTTTAACTGGGAAAAAGTGGAAGTTTGAACATAAATCACATCAGAAACAGAAGAATAAAAAAGAATCGATTTGCTCCAATACTTTGTGTTTACATGAGGGAATAAATGGAAGAACTGAACTCCAAAATCTCATGTAAAGAAGCCGTGTCAAATATTATTTTTGACAGTTGAATTTAATAACCTGGCAGAATGTCAGACTGGTGAAAAGACACAGTTCCTCAGATTGTGAGGTTGAGACATGTGAGCTGCTTGTTTAACTTTGCATGGATAAACCAATGTGTCCACAGGCAGGAAATTGAATGAGGGCGCGCTCTGTGTGCTTTTGGATACACGATGACCGTGGCTAAAAGGCGTGACATCGCCTTTCAGCGCCGCCTCCAACCTGTCGGCGCTCAGGACTCTGACCTGCAGGCGTCCTCCAGTCGCTGTGACCTCCTGAGCTCTCCGCTGTCCAAACTGTGACAAATCTGAAAGAAATGAATTTTCCAAGCTCAAGCTGAACACCACAGTTCCAACTCTGGTTTTTAATCCATCAGGAAGTTTATCTGTGAAATCAACCCAGACTGACTTCTCACCTGCAGCGTTCAGAAACCTGCTGCAGTCGCTAATTCCTGGAATGTTTTTTCTTTCTTTCCGAAACAAGCACATTTATATTAATATTTTATGTTTCACCAAATCAAAATAGACTAAATGGAAACAGTATTCCTGAGTAAACTCTGGGTTCTGGTTCATAAAACAAACTCCAACTGGTGGAAACATTAAACAGACATCTTGTTAGCTGGATGTGGATGTTGCCGTTTAAAGCCCAGCTGGACATTGTGCTGCTCCTTCATCATCTGCTGACCTGTGACTGATGGATGAATCTCTGGCTGTGGTGACAGATGCTACTGAGAGCCGACCCAGAGGAGAACTCATGTTTTCATTTTCTCATAAACAGGCCAATATGTGGTAGTTTTCTGCTTTGGTTGAAGTTAGTTTGTTGGTATACTGCTTTAGCGTTAGCATAACTTCTGGATCTGATTAGAACTTTACATTTATTTATAGGTCCTCCCTCTAACTGCCTATTTTAACACATTCCACTGTGCCAAGGAATTTCAGTATTAATGCAAAATATACCTTAATATGCATTAATATTGAAACCATCTTAGCAACTACTGCAGACACTAACATCGACAGCCAATCAGCATGAAGTAAAATGATGGCTGCTTCTGATTGGCTGCTTTACCAGTCATGTTTAGTTGCATTGAGCCGAGGAATTTCAGATTCGAATGTTTCAGATATGGTCTAAAGTCCATGGATGGTTGCGTCCACACGGCGCTGAGGATTTTATATTGAGAAATATTATGTTTCAGTTTCACAAAGACTTTGTTCTTCTCCTAAAGAGTTAAATGAGTCAGTGCTGTTTTCCAAGATGTCCTGAGAGGCCACTGAATGTTCCTAAAAATAAAACGAACCCAAAGCGCTAAAATTAGCCAAAGGATCCCAGAAGTTTTTGTGCATCAGTTCACAAAATAACAGCTTCCTTTGAAACTTTACATGAACAACAACCTCAAGTATTTCATTCTCCAGGACAGAGCAGCATGAAGACTGGAGCGTTTATAGAGAGGAGAGGTGTTATTTTGCTCCTGTCGTGTAAAACCCTCTATAGACGCCCAAACATTCCCGTGTGCGCTGTAAGCTACATCAAAGCCTATCTGTGGTCTCTCTCTGCTTTATAGGTCCTGAGTGCTGGTTTTAACATGCCCTTATGTGCATGTTGTTATGTGCCAGTGAGTGTTCAGGTGTAGACTCTGAGCTGCAGTGCATTATTTTCGTTCATGCTGTGGCCTTTATGCAGTTTACTGGTGTGAGGCCAGATATAAGGGTTAGAAACCAACAGCTAAAGGAAGAGTTTGTCAGCCAGGAGCCAACGTCTTATTGCACCAAGTAGTTTGTGGACTACTTTCTGCAACCTTGTGTCTATCAAGCTGAATAATTTCTTACTTTGTTGAACTGAAAGAAAAGCCAGATTTTTATCTACATCGCAGTATTTTTTCAAGCTGCCAGTGATCCAAGCGTAGTTTATAACCTTGTAAAAATATTCATGATCCTTGAAGATTTTCACAGTTATGCTAAATAATCCCAAACAAAATGTTGCAGACAAAGAAAAAAGAAGCTGTAGATTGGATCCACATCCATGTGTGGTTGGGTAATGGCGGAAAATGCACCTATTCACAGATTTTTATCGTTGAGCACAAACGAAAGATTTCAAAGAAAGCAGAAACTCCATCACCATTGCTCTTCTCTCTAATCCGGCACAGTTTCAAAATATTATACAGGAGCTGAACTGTGTGGTGACTTTCCTCCAGGATCGTCCAGTATTAACGCCGTCCGTCATCCCGCCATGTTCCTGCTGAAGAGAAGCTTTTCCACAGCATGAGGCGGAACCACGGCCCGAATGGGATCAGTGTGTCCAGCATGTTGGGGTTCCACCACACTGAGTTTTCACAAGTGGGACAAAAAGTCTTTCAAATGCTGGAATATGAATTTGTTTGCTTTTGTTTACATTACTAACTAATTATAACTTCCATCAGACTTTTGTGTGAATGGTTTGTGAACCTAAAGTGCAGAAGAAGAACGTCACACGGCAGCGCGTTGTTTACAGAACTACTAATGTCCAATTATTGATCAGTTTTGAAAGAGAAAGACAGCAAAGAGAACTGACGGTGTTATCAAAGCCAATTTCTGCTGTTTTTATTACCTTCATCCAACATGTTAGCACTTCTTTCTTCAGCTCCTTCTGTTGCTGAATTGTGACCGTGTCTCATGTCGGTGATGTAAAAGTCCGATAAAATGCAACATGACTGTCCAGGCTGTGAAAACTAGCAGATATTTATTCAATTTAGCACCAAATATTGGAAGTGGCACAAATCAGATATTTTTTCGGGTGAAATGATCTGAACTGGGCCGTTCAGACACCATGAATTTTTAAACTAGATTTTTTACAGCAGTTTTTTGTCTGAATGTGCAGAGGTGTGATGCTCAGACCTCATGTCGCCTCTCATCCTGGCTGTAACTGCACTGGCATTGAGATGATCTCTCTACCTTCAACAATAAAAACAAAATGTAAATGTTTTACCTGAAAGATTGCTCATTTGGAGCTTATAGTTCATATTAATCACTTTGTTTCCTATGTTTCCCAGCATCTGACATGAGCCCTGTGGCGGAGGAGGGCCCCCTCGCGCAGCTCGCCCACACAGCCCACCGGCGGGAAAAGCGCTGCTCCTGTGAGAACCAGAAAGACAAGGAGTGTATTTTTTTCTGTCACATCGGCATCGTCTGGGTCAACACCCCGAGGTGAGGAAACGGAGGTCATCATTAAACATTTTAGGAGTTTGTTATCATGGTAATGGCTGAGCTGGAGTGCTGGGCTGATGATGAAGAATAGCAGAGATAAGACTCAATCTGCAGTAGCCGTTGGGTTTCTGAGGGAGGATGGGAGGACATGCAAACAGCAGCTGCAGTCCAAACGAAGACAAACTGTCTCTGTGGTCCCGGTTCCTCATCACTGTTTAAAGTCATTACATTTACAGATGTGTAGAAACTGCATCTCTAACTAACATCAAGTTTCTTCAGAAATCTGTTGGACACAAACGATCTGAAATCATTTCTACAACCTCTAATTAAAAGACAACAATCCAATAATATTTTCCAAGATCAGTGATAAATGAAGAACAAATGCTGCAGTAAAGTTTAAGCCTCTTTAATTAAAAAGTTATTCTTTGCATGCTTGACATTACCTGATTAATTTAGCTAAAGTCAAACATTTTCTGAAGAGAGTAGCAGTTTTCCAGAGTGAGGTTTCTGCTGATATAAATCTCCCCAGCTGGGAGGAAGAATGTCAAAGACGTCATGGTTTCCCCCAGAGAATATGTTTCTAATGAGGATGCTAACACGAAACTCAGACCAGATGTCCCGGGAAACCATCCACATGTACAAAACAATCAAAACACACAAATCCAGGATGTTTTATAAAATGTATGACATGGAACAAAACACAACTTGTTCAAAACAACAAAGATGTGAAAGTATCAGCAGAAATGTAATTGAAAATGAGTAAAACTGTGGAAGTAACTGCAGAAACCAGCAGTGATTTAAACAGCTGCTGGGACGAAGAGCCTGTGATTACGCTCATTTTTGCAGACAGGATGCAGAAATCTGTCGTTGAGTTTATCAACAGATTCATTCAGACTTTGTGAAACTCACACCAACAGCATGTTCTGCAACGTCAGGTTGCAAAGATCTTACCCATCATGCTCCTGGGGTGATTCCTTGGTAATAAATTAGGTTTTTATAGGCCACCAGTTAGGTTTAAACTGGTTTTAATTCCTGCTGATGGTAACTTCATTTCAATCTTTTTTTAATATACAGAAACCATCATGTTGAGATATTATGAGAATATTGATTGTAATCAAGACACATTTTGCAATATTTTACATCTGCTCCATCATCTTAAGGACTCCTGTGTAGAGTATTAAAAATGGTAAGTAGCGGGTCCTCAGTCAGGTAGTTTAGGCGCCATGCCGAGTGCCTGATGATAACTTCTGGTCCCAGAACCAGAGTGGTGCCTGCCGTCCTGGACTGTTTTAGGTAACTTCGGCCCTAAAACGTTGCTGAAGTGAATGTAGCTATTTACAACGCAGCTCCTTCCCCATAAAGTTCAAACTTTGCCTGTGAAAGGTTTACTGACGCCACAGGAATACATGTGTAAGTTAGACTAGAGACCTGAGTCAAGAAGCCAAAATGTCACTGAAACATTGTTAGGACCACATGGGTGTCTTTTAATTTGCCTGGTTTTAAATAAGAGGATCTCCATTCAGAATCACCTCCAATTAACTGGATTTTAGTTGAGTATGCACAAGCAATGACTGAGCAGTTAGCTGTGGTGGAGGTAATAAGAAAGCACATCTTTCCTAAAGAAGGTAATTTCTGGAGTGTTTCCTCTGGTTTCCTAAATAGCCGGCTTGAAACTTTTAACAACAGAATGAAGAAACCTCAAGAGTTTAAGGCTATTATAGTCAGATGCTCCTTTACCCACAACCAGTTAACCCCTCCTAGGCTGCTCCCTTTTAGAAATCGCTTACCAATGCAGACTGAAATGTTCCTCAGAAATGACTTAAACTTGTAAAACTAAAAAGTAATATCAGTGGAACCAATGAGGAAAGTGTTTTTTATAGATTGATCAAATGTGCCTGATTTCTGAAACTCTCCTTGTGTTTCCCGTCAGTTCAAGTAACAGCTAACGCTCATTTTTTTTGTCATTTCCCATAAATTTGCAGATGTTTTGAGGCTGAATTAAAGGTCTTTACAGTCACACTCAAAATTAATTAAGTTGAGGTCAAGTAAAAAACGGGTTTCACCAAAATAGCTTCCAGAGAGGATCCCAAAGTGTCTCAGATTGTTGGTTTGGTCTAAACATAGCAGTGTGGTTACAGGAGATCTTCCTGCCTTCTCCATAAAAAGCTCTTAAACAGCAGTCGCAGTGCCCACCATCACTAACTGCCACTAAACGCTGCGGTCGCTTTCGTCTTAAATCATTCTCTTAAAAGCATTCGTCTCTTCTGTAAGCCAACTTTCCAGGTTTAGAAATGAAAACACATCATCTAATTATCAGCATTCCTAGAGTCATTCTACAATTTAAATTATTTGTGGCAATACTTCTTTTTCACAAAATTCTACTGATAATATTTTGTTTCTTCTTATTTTCACCTTTTTAATATTTTTCCAACATTCCCAGTTAGCAGCTAACTGGGAATGTTGGCTGCTAACTGGGAATGTTGGCTGCTAACTGGGAATGTTGGCTGCTTTGTTTTGTTTTGGTGTCACTTTGTGAAGTTGCACTGCAAAATGTTACACTGTGCATTTAGTTTTACACATAAATATTCTGTCAATCATTCATGATAAAAATAAAAATAATCTGAAAAATACCAACAATAAATGATACAAGCATTTCTTGTATCATTTTCTCAATAAATCCTGCTATTTATTGAATTAGATCATTTAAAAATACAAAAATCCTTTTTAAAGTCTAATTTACATAAAAGTTAACAAATCAGCAAAACTATCCATCTTTTAACTGAGAGCCTTGAAGAGGCTGGAAAATAAATCATCACTGATTTGGTGATGATTATTAAATCATCACTTCAGTTTTTTATTAGGTTGTTAAAACATCAAACATCAACTGAATCATTGGGGAGGAAAAACTGAGTGAAACAAGAGACCTACCAAAGTAAATGTTGCATTAAAGTCAGACATTCACCCTAAGAAATGTCCAGTAAACGAGGAGTTTGTGTTTTCGATAGCTGCCTCTTCAGTCCAGGTGAAAGACGGGATGAGAGACGTGAGGAACGGCAGAACCAAACTCAATCAACGTTTTCTCAACATCTGGACACGTTTGATTTACAAGGAGACACATGGAGCAGTTTATCTGGCAGCCACCGCCATAAACATCAGCCAAACGTTGACTAATATGGCTTAAGTACTCTCAGCCTCGGTGTCCATGGCAACGCCGATGTTTGGGCAGATTTTTGTTCTCGTGTCAGCAGCTGTCAGGTCATATTTTCAGGTAAAAAAAAGACATTCTGTATTAAAGCTGGGAGCTGTTGTGTTTGGTGGAAGTAAATCAAAACTACATGTACTCAGCATGAACCTTCTTCTTCTAGGGCTTTTAAGGACTTATTTCTTTTCCAGGAGGGAACAGTTTTACAGCACACAACTGCAGCCATTTTAAAATACAGAAAATGGAGGCAAACGTTGGAACGCATCGAGGATTTCTTCTGATTTATAAAGAGGGGAAAATCTTCATGCAGGCAGTTAAATATTTCTAGTTTCTGTGCCTCCAAATAAACACATGCAGTTTCCAAATGATTCTATTTTTGTAAGGAAAAAGTTATATAAACCAATCACTGTTAAATCAAAAGAATCCAAAAGTCTGCATCACTTAAAAAAGTCATGATGATAATCCCCAGAAGAACATCAGCACTGCTGTCACACACGGTAGAGGCAGCATAGTGATCTGGGAATGCTTTTCTGCATGAAGGAGAACCAGATCCACATCTGAATGATTCAGAAAAACAACTAGATAAAGTTCTGGAGTGGCCTAGTCAAAGTATGGACTTAAATCTGAATGAGATGCTTTAATATAACCTGAAATTGTTTTATTATGCTGGAAAACTTTAAGTCAGAGTGGAATAAATTGTTGCTACTCCTAATCTATGAATCTTTCAAATGTCATCATTTGTTATCTTGTTATCACCTGTTGATCTGAAACAGTTCAGTGGGGAAAACAGAAGGACATCAAGTCTGAATGTAAAATGATGTGAATCCATAACAGATTCAATCAGGCAGCTTTCTATCAAACAGCTGGAGAAATATGACGAGTATATGATGATGATGATGATGATGATGAATGAATGAATGTAAACGTGTGGCTGCAGCTGCGGTCATAAAATAACTCCAACAGCAGCTACAGGTCCGGCTGCAGACGTTTGGTTCTTCTAAAGCCAGAAGGCTGCAGAGGTCATCAGACCTGCAGCCGTCCAGTAGCTGCCACTCATCGATGAAGGCAGAGGAAATGTTGGCACCGATTTCTGGGCTGTTTGATGTTTCTGGCAAAAACAACTGGGAAGAAACATCGAGTTTCTGCCGTTACTCATCGAGCCGCAGTTCAGTAGTTCAGGTCACCCAGATTTATTCCTCCTGTAACCCAAGGAAGGATCCTCTGACACTCAGGTGGAGGCAGCAGCAGGGAGGTCAACAAGCTGCTGAGAGGAAAATAAATGATATTGTAGAAATGAGGAGGAGGAGGAGGAGATGAAAGGGGCTGTATGTTATCTCCAGCTATGGGGGGGAAATGAGATCCAGATGTGGTGCCAATAACAGAGGCGTTCAACTCTTACACGTCTAAATTTGGTTCAAAAATGTTCCATTTGGAAGCAATTCTGGTTTAATTTGCTGTTACACCTTTATTTAACCCTGAGGCGTTCAGCTGCAGACGGTTCCCGCTGCGGTCGCATTAATGCAGCCGAGGGTCCGGCTTTAACCTGCAGCCGCTCGGCACCGCGCACATCCAGAAACCCGCTCAGAACGGATCACAGGAGCCATGTTTGTGGTTCGTATTAAACTTTGGCTCACAGAAGGATAATTGCAGCTCTTTGATGGATTTCTGGGAAATCCTTTCCAAACCTTCCAGTTTGTAATCGTGAGCTCGAGTTTATTTTGAGTTCAGGTTTATCTGTCATGAGCAGTAAATACTGAATTCACGGAAATCCTCTACTCTGAAAAAACAATGCCACAAATATCCACATTAAAGAAATATAGACTTATTGTGTAAAAATGTCAGACTATTAAAGACCTGTCAGATGTCCCCGTTCATAAATCTGACTGCAGAAACTTCCTGTGAAGTTTGAACAAAAACAAACTCAGAGGTTCCTGCACCGAAAACGGACTGAATGTTAAACTTTAGGAAGAAAGACTGAATGAATCCCAAGATGCTGCGAAGTAGAAATGTATATTCATGCATATTTTTTTAATCAAAATATAAATATTTAATAAAATTAACCTTCTTTGATGAGATGCACATCAAATATATTCAAAAGAAAATACATCTTGGAAATTGGCACTAAATATTTACTTCCATATTAAATATTTAGCCTCAAACTAAACTTTTGCTCCCAGCTAAATATTTAACTGGTTGTGTAGAATCAAACTGATCCTCCAGTTTCAAGCAGATAATCTTTTAGCATTGAAGCCATTTTATCAGAACTATTTCAGTATTTTTAAAATAAACGGCTGAATCTTTTGTCTTGCAGCCAAGTGGTGCCGTACGGATTCGGGTCGGTGCGCCTGCGGAGGGAGCTGCAGCGCTGCTTCTGTACGGACTCACAGGACACAGAGTGTTCCAGCTTCTGCTCTGAGCACATACAAACACTGTGGGTGAACACACACACACACACACACACATGCATGTTGATTTAAACATGGACTGGATGTAAAAACAGAGACAATAAGCTGCAGGGCCTGGTGGGGGATTTTACCGCCTCTTTCTTCCCTTCTGCTGCTCATCCAACACTTAGATTTCCTCCTCCTGCAACTCTGCAGACAAATAAACATACAAGCACAAATGGACACAATGTGTAATCACTGTATTACATTTTATATTTGCAAATTTGGTTCCTTGCATTGTTGTAAATATTAGTGCCGGTTCACTCCCTGATGATGTTTGAGTCTGTTTGTCTCTTAAAAACAGTGATGAAGCCCGTTTCACTTTTTCTAAGTAATTTTAAAATGTCTTATTTAATACCTAAAATGTTCAAAGGACTGGATCAACCAATCAAGTTTATTTGTGTAGCATATTTCAGCAACAAGCAGTTCAAACTGCTTTATATCATTAAAAACATAAAAATAAAGTCATGAAAACAAAATACAGTCACCAGGTGAGAGACTAGCAGCAAATGTTACATTTTGTTGAGTATAATCACCAAAATCATTCATAGTTTCTTTAAAAAAAAACAGTTTCAGATTTATAAATATTTATTCTATTCCGTCTTTATAAGAAGAGAATTGTTCATATTTATTGGCTTCATAACAACCCTACATTTAAATAGACATTAAAACTGTTTTATTTTGTCTCTTTTTTTCCTGCAGGGAGGAGAACGCTGCTGTGAAGAGGAAGACTGAGAAGATGAAGAGCTACAGAACTGCATTGTGGGAAAAAAGAAGCCGGCACGCTCTCAAACACCAGACCTGAGACGGCGGCGCCTCACCACTAACACCAGCTCTTCAGAACCGAAGTCCTTAAAGTATCTAAAGCAACTCATATCGGACCCGTTAGTACGTCACGCCGGTCCGGTCGTGTACAGTGACGTTTTTTGTTAATGTGATGATGATGATGATGTTTGAACCGGAGCTTTGAACACTGACAGGCTTTGGCTCACAAAAAGTATGAACATGTGACCTTTGTGTTGACTCCAATCCGGTTTAGATCCGGTTAGAAACAGCCGATCCGCAGAAAACCTCAAACCTGAGCGTCCAGGGAGTCTTTACAGCTTTACAGGAGAGTTCCACAGTAAAAACTCCACAACTTTTTATGTTTTGTCACATTACAACCATAAACTTCACTACATGTTTAGGTCATTTTATGTGACAGGGCCGTCCGCCTAAACAGACTGAGCCTAGAGGTTCCTGGTATCTCTGGAGGAGCTGCAGAAATCCACAGCTCAGGTTGTAGAGGTTAAGGGCAAATGTTGGCTGCACACCACAAGTCTGGAAAAGAGTAGGAACATGTTGAAAGAAAACTGTAAAAATCTATTTTGGAGTTTATGACAAATCAACAAACATATAAGTCATATAAGATGTCCAGTTAGCCACTATACCTGCTGAGTTAGAATGGTCTAGTCAAAGTACAATTGAAAATCTGTGACAAAACTTTATTCTACCTGATATAACTCAAGTTATTTTTCTGGGATGATTTGTTGGGGTTTAGGAGACCCAATGAAATTCATTTTAGTTTGCGGTTGTTATGTCACAAAATGTAAGAATGTTTGAAGGGAGAAAACACTTTTCAATCTTACTACAGCTTGTATGGTGCAGTAAAAGGGACAAAAATCAGACAAATGGACAGTCTGTGTCCATTTGACACAAGATAAGTCTGAACAAGTGAAATACCAAATCCTGCTTTCAGTTAATATATAATTATGCCTGTTGCGTTCACACCTTTTTCCATCTGACTTTTTCCTTCCACTAAACTTTCTGTGAATATGCTCAGATACAACGCTCTGTGAACAGCCAGTTCACAGATGTTGAAAATAAATCTGGCAGCTCACCAATAAGAGGTTATTTGTCTTAACAGCAGCGCTTCATGACCAAGGAGAACATTGTGTCCAGTTCATTTTTTTAACAGAAAAATGGCTCTGAATGGAGATTTTATTTTTATTTGAATGTCTGACTTTTGTTTCTCTTACTCCATCATATCATGATCAGCAACAGGAAAAAAAAAACAGCTTTTAGGGTCAAAAGTGAAACATACGGTGTGGAAACTAGTGGAGTACAGTATTATTTTTGCAGTTTTTTGAAGCTTTTCTTTGGATTTTGGCTTCTTAATTTCAGGCGAGTCTTTGTTACTAGCTACTCTTCTGAAAACAATGTTCCTCTCAAACATGATTTGCAGTTTGACTCTGTTAGATGTGAATTAAGCTCCTTTATGCTGGGCTCAACGGCTCTGCTCTGAATCTCCTTTTTAACATTCAGAAAAGGGACTGAATGACTGACGAGGGATGATAAATTACAGATAAAAACCGCTCGTTCGAAGACTAATTGTACGATAATCGGGAAAAGGACTGTGAGGATTTCAGCTGCTGTCAGAGTTGCAGACTCATCGTGTGAATATGAATAATATTAATGATAATAATAATATATCTGTCTGTAAAGAAATGTTTTTGCTGCTTCGCATAACGTTTTGTGTATTTCTTCCATGAATGCATGCATCAACCAGCAGTAACAGCTGTTTGCTGTTTCTCTGTGTTTATATCTGCACCTTTGCTTTTTCCTCCGACATGTTAAAGTATCGCTGAAGAATAATGCACACAGATGGTAGAGTGTAAAATAAAGTATTTATTTCATGTCTAACCCTACAATCCTCTCCGTCTCTTCATCGTGGTCAAATGTTGTTACTTAAAAACCCAAAACATTCATTACAAATATGTTCAAATCCTCTGGTTTTCTATGAAATGACACGTGAGAAAGTCAAAACCTGTTCACCCATTTTTGCGATGTAGTTAACGACGTTTGACCACAAGGGGGCAGAAGAACTTCAGAAAACATGTTAAAGCTGTGGTGTCCCTGAAGAGTTGGTGTGCTGCACTGCTAACTGAAATGTTAGCTACGTTAACATTAAAGCACTATAACAACATGCTTAGGCAGAAGCTAAGGCGCTAAATTCAACCATGTTGATGCCCACCATGATTGCTTTAGTTCAACAGACTCATGGTTCACATGAACATAAAAAAGAACAAAGACATGAAACACAACAATACATAAAAAAAAACCTGAAACTGATGATACAGATTGAGAAACCTCAGAAACTCAGAGTGGTTTTCATCTCCTTGCCTTCAGCAGGGCATCTTGATCCTAAATAATAACTGAGTACCAGTTATAGAGCTGCAAAAAGGGCAACATGATTTATACAAAACACAAACACATGGAAGGTTTAAGTTTTCTGTTCAGTCTGCCGTTTCCTGAAAAACTCCAAATACGCTCAGTTGCCGTTGTGGATTTTTACAAATGGCTGATTACATCAAAAGAGTCGATTTTTTGACACAATCAGCCACTTCATTCCCTATCCAGTCATTATCTGACAACCTTTTGACCTGGAGTTTTCTGTCTGACTCGGCATCCTTGAAAATTCAGAGTAGTAGGTCCTAAAAAAAGAGCCTGGTGCCACATAACTGTTACCAGAGGAACAGCCTCTTAACCACATGTAGTCAAGTAGGCGCTAGTCAAAGAGCGGCATTAGTTTCTAACAACCAGTAGTTGGATCCAGGTCCAGTTTTGCATGCCAGTTTGCCAGCTCTAAAGTGGGACCAGGAAATAAGAAAAAACATCTCTGCCAGAGCAAAAAAAAAAAAAAACATTTTAGTGATTCTTTTAAATTTGTTAAATTCTTAGACACATCTACAAATAAGTTTCCTGCCACTTTAACTGGCTTAAAGCAGATATATCTGCATCCTGACTTAAAACATGAATAGTTACATGAATTTGATGCGTTCCATCTACATCCAGTCATTTCTTTCTGGCAGGAAATTTCCTGAAGCATTTAAGACCTAGGAAAATAACTGTCATCAAGTCTTTAAGTAGACTGTGCTCAGTTGTAATAATCCCTTCAAACAACATGGCTGCTGGATTCATATTGTATAATTGTGTTGATAGATGGTGAATGAGCTTTCAGATGTGTGATTTCTGCAGATGAGGTGGATGTCTGGATCCGTTCTAAGACTGTTTCATGATGGATGGATTCATTCGTAAGGAAACTTCTGTCATCATCAGTGAAAATTGCAAATCACCTCCATCAACATGCCAACACCTCGGAAACAATGGAGCCGGATCAGCTGGGAAAACAGAACAAGTGATGATTGAGATGTTTACTGCTGAAAACTGGCGGTTAGTTTGGGCATAATGCTGCCACCTGGCGGACAATCTGGGTCACAGCAGGAGGAACTGAATTAGTTTTCAAACAAAACGTGATTTGAGTTTCTGATCAGGCCTTTAATATGCCTAATATTTTTTTATTTATTCTAAAGAGATTTTAAAACAGCACACCTCCTCTTCAGCAAGGCAGTAAAGATAAAACTGGACCAAACGGCAGATCTGATTCACCTTTAGGAAGGACTGGAGTCACTAATGACGCCAGGTGAAACTCATGATTGGCTACGTGCCTGACATGTGGATTAGCACCACCTAGTGAACGACATGTAGAACTACACCAGGATTTGTGGCACTAGTCAAACTAGTTTTGACGTCAGAGATGCGTTTGGATTTGTTCTCTGAAGTTATGAGGATGTGATGAAATGAAATCCTCGCAGACTTCACGCTTCTTCTCTCCGGATACTCTGACAGATGACGGCGGAAAGTTTCTGCAGATCGACCTGAAGGTGAGTTCAGGTGAATCATCCCGGTGAAAGCTGGATCTAGACCGGATCAGAAAGGTTCATGGCAAACAGCTGGAAGTATTAAGGGATAAGTTACGACGAAAAGCTATTCTATAGTTAAAATCTCATGATTGATGTTTTCATCCTGTAAAATGTATTTTACTGTATAACTTTTGCTATAGTTATAGAAGTGTGTAAGACAAATACTGTTCTTCTCTTTTTAAATCGATTCCCTTTCAAAAAGGTCAAAAATGTGGAAAAGCAGGACTCAAAATATTAATCTGTACAAAAACTAATACAAATTTTTTTCTGTTACTTTGGAGATGTAAAAATAATTTCATTGGACCTTCAGAGCCTCAGTGTGTGAACAGATGTGTTAAACATTTTCTTAGTGCCTTATGACAGATTTAGATTAACTTTAACTGTTCCTGAACAATACTGACAAAAAATTTTTAACTTTTCTATATTTAACTTGGGTAACTTAAGAAAATCAGACCACTGCTGCATAATGCAGCTACTGAATGCAAAAATACATTTTTTAAATTATAATGAGCAGATCAGATTCTGTAAAATAAAAGTAAGACAATAATAGTTTAGATGGACGGTGAAAAGGTTGATCTTATTTAAACATGGGGGGAAAAGCAAATAATGAAAACTATTAAGCTTAATGGTTAATCAAACCTTTTGTGATTTAAGATCATAATGATACAAAATATAAATAACTGGCCAAATATGTATTAAATATATTTTGAGCCTTTAATAAATAATTATTGATGTCGTTGCATCTTTTTTTGTGAGGTGATTATTTCCCCTCCATCTACTCTTGTGGTTTTATCTTTATTTTCCATGATGGCTGCAGCCTCAGGCACCTGGTGCCATCATGATGTTTGTCTTTTCTTGTCTTTGCACTGAAATTAACTTTGTTGTGTTTCTATGCATTGACAATAAAGGCTGATTCTGAAGATCCTGAAGATATACAAAACTGTGTGTGTGTGTGTGTGTGTGTGTGTGTGTGTGTGTGTGTGTGTGTGTGTGTGTGTGTGTGTGTGTTTGCGTGTGAACTCTGAATGATTCTGACAGCAGGTGTTAAACTTCAGATCAACTCTCGGTTCTGACCGGGTGCCAACCAGAACTCTGTCTGTCTGAAGGGTTGAACTGAATCTGCTCAGATGTTCAGCTCTATTCAACTTCTATTTCTGGGTTCAGTGACTGGTTGACTTTAAATATGTGAGGCAAGTTTTATTTGTTTGCCACCATTACAGTAACGCACAACGGCAAAAAATGACAAAACAAAAGTAAAAATAAATGATGACCTTGAATAATTTTTGGGCCAAATACAACTACGTCTTGTTTTGCAACGAACAGGAGAAATTCTGACCCTTCTGTTCGTTGATATGAAGAACATATCAATATGTTATGATATGGACAGCATTATAATTGAATGCTGTAGTTGATCCAGAGCTTTGAACAATTATTTAAAAATTTGCTTCTACATTTATACAGAGAAAATGTGACTGAATGTTGAACATTTTTCTTAACATGTTGCCTTAAGTCTTAGTGCTGCAGAAATAACCCAAACGCAAAATAGAATTAAAATAATTGTATCAAGGTTGTATTTCTAATATAGATGCTATGAGGAAGTTCTTACATAATGATCTGTGACAAGATGAAAACAATTTACTGATAATCAGCAGAGATAATAAAACTATTTATCATCTGACTTGTGAAACAAAACAACTGGTTTGGCAGGTTTAAACAAACACGACATGGTTGGTTCATTTACGTTTTACCTGGATTGTTGAATAACCAGGAAACTTTGTCATGATCAGTTTCACTAAACAAATATGGAACAAAGATCAAACACAACTAAACTAAAAGATTTCAGGATCTCTCGCCTGTTGAAGGTTTTGCTGAAATATTTCATTCCATTCATGTTCGGTGCTTTTCAATGCCATAACAAACCAAACCTAAAAGGAAACAGTTTAAAAATAACTAGATGCATAAACTGTATTTATCTGAAGGCTCATGGTATCTAAATGTTCTGATGGCAGTGAAGTGACTCGTTTTGCACCAGTTAAATGTTATATTTTCTGAACTGTGTCCACTGATACAGTTTTCTGTTTTTGAAACTTAAATCACATCAGTCGTATCAAGTTAAGTGTGCAGGAGCCTCTGAACGTCGGCCTGACATCCTGTTTCCTGTTCTATTGAAGGTCAGTGCAGAGACATGAAATGGATTCTGCTGGACAAGAACTTCAAGCTGAAGCTCAATCCAAGAAACCAGTTGAGTGTAAAACATCAATGGATAAATATTCAGAACTGAAGAACCAGAGGTAAGTCTGTTTAGATGTATAGCTGTCAGTTTATGTGACTTTATTTGGTATTGAAAAAACTTAAGACGGATAAAAAGAAAAGCCAAATTACACTAAGGAAGTATTTGGGAGATAATCTTGATGGATTATTTTTATTTAAACAGCCTGGAGTTTTTCTGAAATGTGTAAGATTTTAAACATTTAGTTTTTACTGTGTTTTCTTAGCAGGAAGATGAAGCTGAGCTGAATTAACTGCTTAACTTGCACCTTTCAAAAACTACACATCACCACTTTTAGCTTTTAACGTGATTTTTGTGATGCATTACCTTACAATCTGCAATTCAGCAAGTTGTTGATCATTTATAATGCAAATTAGCTTCTGGCATAAAATCTTGGTTTCCTGACTTGTGCATAAATATCTGAACATCATCTGGTTTTCTGTTTCGCTAAAGTTCTCAGCAAGAATTCAAGATGGACGCTGCTGAACCAGAACCTCAAGCCAAGGCTGGATTCAAGTGTTTGCTCAAGCGAAAAATATCAATGGACAGAGACGTAGATTACAAACAAACAGTAAGTTTCCTGTTATGATCTCTTCCTGTTTTACAATGAAAACAAGGGAAAGAAAATGTGTCATTATATTTTCAAGTTTCTGAATTGTAACACGGGAACAGCTTGTCTACAAAATCCTGAAATCGAATAATCTGTCATGAGACAAACTAAGAAAAAATCCTTGACACAAAGTGTAACGCTGCCTAAAGAAGAGGATCTGAGCGAAGAAAAACAGAGGCTGCACAATATTAAAGACACTGGATTAGATTCCCTGCCCTCATGAACATGAAGTAGATCTGGAGTTTCAACCAGAGGTTTTAATTATGTTCTTTATATTTCCACTAATATTCCTTCCCCTCTGCCTGTGTGAACGTCTAACATCAGCAGAGGTTCGTGACAATCCAGGCATTCCTTTCTGGTTCCTGCCAATCCAGTTTCACCAGGAAACATTTCACAAGTTTCCAGAGACACAAAACATTTTAGTTCCAAACAAGGTCAGAGAATGTGTGATGGAAAAACACGACGTTCATCAGATTTATTCTAATTAACTTTACATGACAGAAATTACAACCGAGAGCATTAAAATCTGAAGCCTAGAAGTGACTCTCTCATCCCAAACAAACGGTTCCAGTTGATACAGAAGTAAAGTTATGATAAAAGTGAAAAACAATGTTCGAAGCCCGTCCCAGACTCAGATCGGTAAATGCGTGACAGCAGACTGAAACCTTTCCTTGTTTCTGTCTAGTCAGCAGTAGCAGGAATGTCGTCCGTCTTCCCTGGTCTCGGCTCTGAGCTCCTGCCCCTCCTACCTGAGAGAGCTGCACCTGAGCTACAATCACCCCGAAGACTCAGGAGTCAAACTTCTGTCTAGTGGATTAGAGAATCCAGACTGGAGGCTGGAAACTCTCCGGTAAGGACCAGAATCTTCTTGTAATCTGGATGATGAATAGATGAGTTTCCAATGAAAGACTCGGCTTTAGTGAAGCCCATTTAGTTCAACATAAACTTTTCCAATAAATGATCCCTATCTCACAAAAAAGTAAAGTTTTCTGTCTTTTTTTAGTTAAATATTTCTCTAAAATCTAATATAATCAATATACAATACAAGTCGTATGACAACTGGTTGGTCTAAACGGCACCATAACCAAGGACACAGTCACTTTCCATGTTTTCTCTCCTGCTATTTCATTTTTTCTTTAAAAATAGGCAAGACTCGTCTCCTCCAGGGAAATAAAAATTTCATACAAATTACCTGCTTAAACAATATACAGACAGGTTGAAACCCGGATTTCAGAAGTGCAAGTTTTGCAAAACAGTTTGTGATTTAATCTCATTTAAACACTGGCCTTTATTAATAAGTTAGTAGTGTGGTTTAGCATACTAGATAGTTAACACTAAAAAGAACAGAAGTGTTTCTTCATGATGTCATTTTCTTTTTCCGTGTGAAACGCATGAAAAAAAGGTTTCACATGGATGATTTCCAAATGTCCAACAGATGTTGCTAAATAGTGAAATTTGCACATGTGAAAACGTTGCACATGTGGAAGGCTGCTCACATGTTCTTCAGGGGTCACCACATCATACAACTTTTATATGTGAACACGTTCCACAAGTCTAAGATTCCTCACATGTGCTTCCGGTGTTATTTTATTATGCCATTTGCACATGTGAACATATTCCACATGTGCAATTCCATACTTTTGTTTTATGTGTTGCATACATTTCACAAATATAAAGTATAAACTATATGGGAAAACATTCAGGTATTGCTAAATTATATAATGTTTACATGTGAAACATGTTACACATCACATGTTGCCTGGTTTTTTCAAGTGAAACAAACGAGTAAATGTTCCATATTTGGGTATTATTATGTTACTGAGCAATAAATCCAGTAAGAAACAAACCCAGATGAGTCATTAACAATTTCTGCTCTACTGTTTCCCTCCATCAGATTTCTGTGAACTTGAACTAGACACAAACTCTGTGAACAAACACCTGAAACAATCGGAAGATGACGCTGGTTAAAGCGAAGCAGCCGTATTCGGATCATCCAGAAAGATTCGACTTCTGGCAGCTGCTGTGTGGAAACGCCCTGCCTGGTCGCTGTTACTGGGAGGTGGAGTGGAAAGGAGGAGTTCGCAGAGCCGTCAGTTACAGATGAGTCAGGAGGAAAGGAAAGAGGAATGACTGTTTGGAGAGAATGATCTTTCCTGGAGGCTGAGCTGCTCTGATGGTGGGATGGGAGGAACAGTCAGATATTCATCCCGTCCGGATCCCACAGAGTGGCCGTGTGTGTGGACTGTTCGGCTGGCATCCTGTCCTGCTACAGGGTCTCATCCGACACACATCTCCACCTTCACTGAACCACTTTCTGCTGGCTTTGGGTTCAGCTCATGACTCCTCAGTGTCTCTGTGTTCTCTATAGTAAACATGGCGACTATTAGACAAAACCTCAGTGTGCAGTTTGTAATCTTTAACAAATGAGTAGGAGTGGAATAAAAAATGCTGAACCAGAAATGAGATGATTCTGGCTATGGGCTAATCTAAATATTTAGTTTGAAGACAAGTATTTAAGTAGGAAACAAAATATTTACATTCAAACTAAATATTTAGTTATCAAGTAATGGAATGAAGCTAAATATTTAGTTTGAAACTAAAAGTTTAGCTTAATATTTAACAAACAAGCTAAATTTAGGTTAAAGACTAAATATCCAGTTTACAAGTTACATATTGAGTAAAGCTAAATATTTAATTTGAAGTTAAATATTTGGGTTGTAAACTAAATATTTAGCAACAAACTAAATATTTCATTATCAAGCAATTGAGTGCAGCTAAATATTTGGTTAGAAACTAAATAGGTAGCTCCAAACTAAATACTATATATAGCTTCAAATAATACTTTGCCAACTAAATATTTAGATATTTAAACCTTTTGGGGATTAAAAACCATAAAAGGCGTTGGATTACATTTGAATTACATTTGCAGTCAAATTTATTTGCAAAAAGTGTTGAAATATAATTTTTCATTCATGTTTCCCTCCCATGATGGACCGCTTCACTTTGGTAAAATGTCAAAAGCTTTTCTCTGTTGTTGCAACAAGGACAGGGTAGATGGATGCTATATGTTCATAAGAGAACTGATTTTTTTCATCTAATTGTAGCGTTATAAGCACAATTATTAACTACTTTGTGATAAAAGTGGAATTAACTGTTTCTCTAAATGAGTCACTGTTATTTATGGATTTGAAAAATCTGAAATGCAAGTAAAATATGTTTTTTTATGCATGATGAAGAAAGGAAACAATGAAAAATGGAAGGAAGATTTTACATAATATGTACAAATACATTTCTTCTCTATGATGAACGTCCTCAGACTATTTCTTATGTTTATGGGAAATTAGACACTTTGTGTATAACCTGAAGTGCATTAGTCTGTTCAGGGTTTGCTTCAGAGAAACAGGTTCAACAAACTTTTGGTGAATTTCAAGCTCTCGTGATTTTTCCCCTCTGAGTCTTTAATGTGCTTCTGAAACTAAATCTGTGTCTGATCAACATTTTTCTGTGCCTTTGACCACATTCAAACCACATGTTTTCTATTACATTATTGCAATCTGTTTTCACTTTGTATGTATTTTTTCTACTCCTTGATGTTGAAGTCCCTTCTAAACTTGTATTGATCTGTTTGCATATATGCAATAAAAATTAATCCACTTTATAAGGATTTATTCACTTTGATAAAAAAAAACAACAAATATGATTTGATTTGACATTTTTACTGTAGTTTTTATTCAGATATCAGGTTTGTTTGGTTATTTTTTCCCCTTAATAGTTTCAAAACATTTTTGTATCTCCTCATGTTATCTTTATTTGATATTAAAATTTATTTGTTCTGAGTCGTGTAAGTGTGGCCAAAAAAACCTGAAAATAATTATAAAGTTTAGAAACTGTATGACAAAACGGTGGATGTAAAAACTTCTTAAAGTTCATCATATTTTTATGGAATGTACTACTTATGAATCAGAAAGAAGGCAGTTCCCAAAAGAAAGAACAATGAATATTACATTTACAATTGATAATGTTATTGGGATTGATCAGTGAAGTAAAAGGTCAAATTAAGAAAAGTGTCTGTTGGGGTTGCCTTTGCTAGATAAATAAAAGCTGACTAAAGAACTATTATTTTAAAGTCACAACTGTGTTTTGTGAAACTGAATTTGTGTTGAAGCTAGCATAACTCAATGGTACAGGGAAATATTTGACATTATTCCAAAGGAGAGTCTCGGTGCACTTAATGGCAAAACTGAAAAGCTTTTGGCGACCCCTGATGGACTACTTGCTCAGTGCATTCAACTGGGCATAATAGCTAGCAACTCCTATTCATGTACTTCAGTATTTCAGTCATTCATTTATTTATTACATCTTATTTCTTTCTCTTTCTCCATCCCAGTAATAATAATAATAATAAAGGCTAAATTAAGTTATTTTTGAAAAATACAAACTTAATAGAGAGAATTTAGTTTATTAATGCGAAGTTGAATTAAGTTCTCAGCATTAGGTTGTTTTTTTCTGTGTAGCTACTGTCCATACTCCAGCCCAGTAGGTGGCGGTAATACAGCATCACAGTTGCCCAGCCAACCGCCATAAAAAAAACTTGTACTTCCGGATCAGAGACCTGATAATTTCCTGAGGCGCGCGACGTAAACAGACTGCATGTGGCGGGAATGTGGATGTGTTTTTCCTGAAGTTTTACCCCCGGTCTTCCAGCCGAAACATGATCCCTGCCGCCGCTTCTCGCTGGATTCGGAAGGAAAGCAAGCCGGTGTTCAACATCATGTGGCGGTGCGTCGTGTCCGGGTGTCCGAGCCGCATGGGGACCGTGAGCCGGGGCGCCTTGAAGCGAGGACCGAAAAGGTTCTTCAGGTTCCCCACATCTCCGGACCGAGTCAAGGTACGGCGGAGGCTTCGGGAAGTAGTCCAAGCCCTGAAGTAGCTGTTGTTTTCCCTGTTTGGTTCAGTATATTTCCTGGTCTTTAAAAAGTCTAATGACAGTAGAAAAATAGGGAAAATGTGCATTTCCAAGATTTATTCCCTATCCCAATGTCTGGAAGTGTTTCCTTCTTTCTGCACTTCTTCATTATAACATGTTTCCGTCTGTCTTTCCTTCATTTTGATCTTAATTGTGTTAACATCTTCTATTGTTGTGTCCTTCCATCTGTCCTACTCTTCTCGTTCCCATTCTTTCTTTTTTGTGTTCTTCTATCTTTTTATGTTTCTTTTTGTGTTTACTTCCATTTGTTCTTCATTTCTTTGGTCTTCTTTACCCGTCCTATTATCCCTTCTTTTCTTTCTTTTCCTGCCTTTCGTCCTGTCCTACATTGTGCCCCTCAATCTCTCCTTCATCTATTTATTTTTGCATCCTTTCCTCCTCCTTGTCATTTCCTATTTCCTTACATCTTCCTACTTTTCATTCTGCCCTCCTTTCCTTCCATTCTGCTTCCTTCCTTCCTTATGTCCTTCTCTCCTCCTATCTTCCCATGTATCCTGTCTTATTTCCTTCATTGGATCCTTCCTTCCTTGTTTGTTTTTCCTTTCATCCTTTACTTTGTCCTTCTTTCCTTACACTCTTTTCTTTTTTTCTTTTCCTTTCATTTTGCATTTTCTTTTTTCTTACCATTATTCCATATTTCCTCTCTTGTTTACTTTCTTCTCTTTTACTTTGTGACCTTCCTTGTCTCTCTCCATCCTTTCTTGTTTCCTCGCCACCCTCTCTTTTTGTCTTTCTTTTAATCCTTTTTTACTTCCTTGTTTCCCTCCCTCATTACTTATAACCTTCCCTGTTTTATTTCTTTCTCCCATTTTTCCTGGTTTTCCTTCTTGTTTCCTTCCTTGGATTCTTCTCTCTGTCCTACTTTGTTCCCTTCCTTTTTCTCCTTCCATCTTTATTGTGTCCTTCTTTCCTTCCCTCCTTCCTCTCCTTATGTTTGCTTTTCTTTCATCCTTCTTTGTATTTTATCATTTCATTTTCTCTTAATTTGTCATTCATTCTTTCTTCTCCTCTCATTCCTCCTCGTCTCCTCACCTCCCTCCTTGCCTCCTCGTCTCCCAGGTATGGCTGGCGGCGTTGAGGGAAACCGATAAGGATCCGTCTGAGCAGCATTTTATCTGTGAGGATCACTTCCTGCCGGAGGATATTTCAGGAAACGACGTTCGGAGCGACGCTATTCCCATCATGCCTCCTTATCTGGACGGGCCACAGTTCCCGACCGGCGCCGACCCGTTACTGGAAGAGGAACAGTGGGCGACCGGCGGCTGGGGTGAAGAAGAGGAGGAGGATGAAGATGAGGCACCAGAGCAGGTCTGGAGTCAGTTTCTACATCTTTCATCGGATCTTTAATGTGAGATAAAATCATAAAATCTGGTTTCTGATCTCCAGAATCCAAACAGACCTGCTCAGAATCCATCAGAACCTGATGTGAAAAGGTACCACACACCTCAGAAACCGGGTCAAGTTTACCAAATTACAGAGAAATCTAAATAATATTTGTTTCCTTTTCTCCAGTGAATTCTGTCCTCAGGATGAAACGACCGGCTGGTTCATCAGAGAAGGTGAGTCACAACAAATTAGTTTCTAATAATTATGGGATAAATGTTCTAACTAATAACTATCAGTGTTTATATTCTAACTAATAATTATGGGATAAATATCTATTTATTTTGATGGCTGGAAATTTTGCAAATCACATCCTGGATTCTTTTCCTCCGTTATTGATTTCTTCTTTTTCTTTTTGCTGATTTTCGGAATATTTAATGTTTATAGAAAGTCACAATATATCAGCTTTAACATCTGCTTCCTTCCTTTCACCCTCCCCTCCTTGCATCCTTTCATCCATCCTTCATTGCTTCCTCTAATCATCTTTCCTTCCTTTCTTCCGTCCTACATTGCTTTCATTCATTATCCTTTTTATTCTCCCATCCTTTCATCTTTCTTTGCTTCTTTATTTTCATCTTTTCATCCATCTTTTCATCGTTCCTTCCATCTGTTAATCCATGCTTCCTTCCCTGCTCTCTTCCATCCTTCATTTCTTCTTGTTTCAGCTCATGAACCTGTTTTCAGGTGATTCCTGATATATCAGCATTAACATCGGTACCGGTCCGATAAATGAAACTGGGTTGACATTTTAAACTGTGTGCAAAGTTATGGAAATATTGGTGAATATTGGAAATCAACCATTCAATATAAATATTGAACTTTGCCCCAAGGTTTCACATCGATGCATTGATAATATTTTAATATCAGACCAAAGTAACCTGAGTAAAGTCATTTGTTTTGTTTGAATCATGCTACTGATTAAGTGCTAAACCAGCCTGGCTCTGTTGCCGCGGTAACGTCACAGCGGTTCCGTCTCCAGGTACTCCTCTGACCCGGCTCACGCGGGGTTTCCTCCAGCTGCTCATGGCCGACCCAGACGCCTCGCTGGACGTCAGAGAGGCGGCGGAGAAGCTCCAGACCCAAACGCACCGAGTCCAGAGCGTCGTGGACGTCCTGCAGGGCATCGGACTCGTCCAGAGCGACTCGGATGAGCGGGTCCGGTGGATGTAAGTGGCTGGAATCGGTTCTGTTCAGAGTCTCTTTTTAAAAGATTCAGGAATGAGATCAGGAGAGAAACGTTCAGGTCACAGAGGATGGAAGACATTCCTGATTAAAACCAGTTCAGCCATAAAACCAGTTCAACCAGTACCGCAGACTGGAAATGGTCCATCTGGTTCTGGTTCTGTGTGTCCATCCTTCAATGTCTTTTCACCTTTAATTTAATTCTTTCATTTTTGCTACTTTGTTTCCTTCCATCCATCCTTCCTTCCTTCTTTCCTTGATCGTTTCCATCCAGTTTTTCTTCCTTCCATCATTTTTTCATCCTTCCTTCCTTCCATCCATCCTTGCTTCCTTTAACCCTCCCTTCCCTCCATCCTTCCTGATGTCAGTAGAAACATTGCAGTAAATTCACAGCACATTTTAATTTAAATATTAAACATTTTTTAAAACGTTTCCTCCAAACTCCTTGTTTTGTTTTTGTGTCCAAACTGAAATCTGAAATCCTTGAACCAGGACCTCTCTCTCCTTCTCTCTCTCTTCCTCTGTTCAGAGGAAGTAGTCCCATCTTCAGCTTCCTGTGGAGAGACACTTTGTCCTTCCTGACGATGCTACAGGGGCTGAAGGACATGGAGGAGGAAGTGGACCGTCTCTTTAAATCCTGCGCTCAGCAGCTCTTCGACCTCACTGAGGATGAGGAGAACTCTTCATATCCTTCCGAGTCTGACTGAGGAGCTTCTGCTTCCAAATGTCTTACAGATACGAAGCTGGTTTGGTGTTTATGTCGCGATAGTGAAGCAGCCGTTTGATCTTTTCAATCCACGATACGAACTTCAATTGAAAAATATTTATTTTAGATGTAAAACCAAGACAATAAAGATATTGCTGGCGTTTTTAGTCATGTTGTTTACATAGCAATGTATCTGGGAAGCTGATGTATGTTAAGTTGCTACGCGCTAGCTAGCGCCGTCCAACCAGAACAGTATGCGCAACAATGAAGTGCAGCCGTTTCAATTTGAAGTAAAACACAATGCAGAAATGAGGAGAGGAGATGAAGATGAGGGAGTTGGCAGAAAACGCTGGAGTTTTGTTTCCAACATTACGCTGTGAAGATCTCCAGTTTCTAACTCAAACTGTTTACGGTTCGCATCAGGATCAAAACATTTTCACAACTTTATCAGAGTGATGTTACAAAACTTAAAGATGCTTCATTCTTTATTTCAACATCTATTCATTTCTTTCCACTTTGTTTTGATTTTGCATTAGCTCCTGCTAATGCTGTTAGCTCCTGCTAATGTTGCTAGCCGAAGCTAACATAGTAAACAGTAGATCAGGGGTCACCAACTCCAGTCCTCGAGGGCCACCATCCTGTAACTTTTAGATGTGTCTCTGCTCAAACACACCTGGATCAAATAATCTGCTCGTTTCCAGCCTGTTGCAGAGAGGAATGAATGCTGGTGAGGGAAGTCAGACATTTTGGAGCAGAGGTGAATCTAAAAGTTGCAGGATGGCCCTGGAGGACTGGAGTTGGTGACCCCTGCAGTAGATGATGTTTGCTTCAGCAGATAGCTCACGCATAGCGACACATTAAAAAGTCCTAGATGAAAATGCAATGAAGATGTACAATTTCTAAAGTAATTATGAGGTTTTACTCACCCCAAACACAAAGTTTTAGGTTAAAATGGCAATTCCAACATATTTAGACCAACTGGTTTAAATAGCCGTGGTTCTTTTAATAAGCGTTTGATCTTTAACTTTTCTTCACGCTGGCCTACATCCGCTGCGATGACATCCGTCGCCTTGGAGCCCTGCAGCAACAGTCGGTGATCATCATCAGATCTCCTCCAGAAACGAAGCTGGTCATTCCTCCTCCTGACGAGGTGAGCAGATCCCAGGGGAGAGCAGCAGATCCCAGGGGAGAGCAGCAGATCCCAGGGGAGAGCAGCAGATCCCAGGGGAGAGCAGCAGATCCCAGGGGAGAGCAGCAGATCCCAGAGAGATGGATTTATCCGAGAAGAAATGATGAAACTAGATTAAAGCTGATTGTTTCTCTGGTCCCGGCGCTTCAGGACGGGATTCGGATGCAGCTGAAGTCTGAGAACGGACCCATCGTGGCGCTGACCTGTGACATGGGAACTTTGACCTCTGAACTCACAAACAGCAGCATGTCCTTCTCGGCGCTGGAGAGTCGCGTCAGGGCGTGTACGGTTGATGAAGGTACCTGGAACAGAACAGTCTGGAACATTTCTAAAACTTAGGGTGGATTTTAAATATTACTTCGACTCATCTGTGTCACTTTAATTTATCCTTAATTTGAAGGATAAACTCGTTATCTCTGCTAAATTATTTTCCAGAATATTCTTATTTCTCCACATACAGATGCATCTAAATAAATTCTAATCTAATTGAAAAGTACATTTATTTCAGAAATTTAATTAAACATTTGAGGTTTATTAACTACAGGCACTAAAACGGTTATTAAATTTCTTTTTGCTACCTTAAAAATGTACCTTAAAAATTGCACGTTTTCCCACACATTTTTTCTTTCCTTTAAATTTTCCATCAATATTTTTTGATTGAGTTTGTGCCACTGGCTGTCAAAAGCAACCCAGATGATTTTTTCCTGTTCAGGTAAGGTGATTCTGATGTTATCTCTGGTTCAGCAGTCGTTTGGGACGTTTGTGCTCAGAAACATCGGCGTCTTTTCATCTTTGAAGCTCAGATTAAATCTTCAGTTTTTGCTTTTTGAATCTCGCCTACAGGCTTGAATGGCTTTACTTCGCAATTCTCTCAAGTCTGTCATTATTCTATTGCTAAGCAGTTTTTCCCTCCACTTAACTTTCCATGCGTATTCCTGGGTCAGCATGCAGGTAAGCAGGGTTCCTCATGATGTAGCCCTTAATTTCACCAAAAACAATAAATCCACAAAACGAACAAAGAAATGCTTAAAATATGTTTTATAATAAAATGAATGAAATAAATGAATTTTTCAATGTTACATTAATTTCATGAGATGTTTTTATTACACTGATAAATACTCAGCTACTGACTGAAGCCGTTTGCTTTAAATTGGTTGATTTCTCTATTTTTCTGTCTGACGTTCTTTAAATGCTGAAGCTCAACAGGAAAACTGATGAAATGTTTGTTTTTTATTCACCTGCCACTAGTGGTGAACAAGAAGATGAAGATCTAGGAAGAGGATGAAGATTTTCTCAGCAGGTAAAGGGAGAAATTATCGTTTTTTGTGTTTATAAGCAGAAATATCTGTTTATTTCATCTGTTTGTTCTTTGTTGTAGGATAAAAACCCAATGATGCGTCAAACTGAAGGAACTCTGAGGTTGAACAGGAAAACCTCTGAATGTTCAGTGTTGGTGTTCAGAAGGGCTGGAAATTCAAACCTGGATGAAAGTTTTTCTGTTTGACGGGGACCACAGCGCCCCCTATTGGCTGAACCAAAAGCCGCCGTCTTCCTCTTTGGATCATCTCAGCCACCTCACCTTGTCAGTTCAACAATTTAAACTTTGATTATCATTGTTTTGTTAAACTGGGAGGTAAACGGAGACCAGAACAAGCTGCTGGTGTAACTGGTGGATGGACTGAAGATCTCAAACCAACTTTTTTTTCCTTCGAACTTTAACCTCTCTGGTGTTTTTATCCAAACTGGAGACGCAGGAGAGGTGAACATCTGGTCAGAAACTCAGAAATCCGATACTTTTCTGTACTGTGAATGCAGCACTTGAAGCATTAACGGGAAGCGCTCCTCAGTGTCTTCAAGCCGTTTAAATTGAAACTGAGACATCATTCAGGCTGCAGGACGGCGAGAGAGAGCAAGACTTTCATAAGATAACTGAAAGGATGAATATATCGCAAAAATTTATTTTTTTTTATATTTTGAACTTTCTGTTGTGGTACATGTTTGATTTAAAAATATTAGGGGTGTTAGTCGTCACACACATTTAGTCTGTGTAGTACTAACCCCATTTAGTGGTTAGTTTTAGCATTAAGACGCTAACATCCATTTAAAATGTGAAAATCCTCAATCATTGAGTCAAAAACCCTGTTTTACATTAACTGCTTTCCCTCACACAGTGTGACGTCTCCCCTACTCCGAATGTAACTTCAAAATGACGGCGGAAAGACTGGAATAAATATTTTCTTCTATTAACCTGGAGACATGACATTTGTTTCTGAAATGTTTTACTTTTCATTATAGAAAAACATGAAGGAGGAACAGAAATTAGTTTTTATAGAAACGTGTTGAATGTTAAAATGTCCCTTTGTGTTGCTGCCGTTTCTCTTTCAACACTTTGGATTGAAAGAGAAGGAACCAGATATCCAGATGGGGTCAGCAGAACTGAAAAAGTTTAATTATTTTTTACTTCTTACTTTCTTTATATATTCTGAGATCCGCAAAATACATTGAAACCAATAAAAGATTCGACTTCAGAATCAAGAAATGATCCTCATTTTCTGTCTTTAATCAAACTGGTTTGTACAAATTACTTGAACAAAACCTGAACTACTTTTTAAAAATCATTCTGAATGAATGACCTCCACAGCATGCAAAGAACAGCTGTACAGTCCTACTAATAACCTAATCGTTTAATTTGAGATGTGCTGAGACATAAAGGTATTTATTAAATACTGTTTGCATGTTTGTTTTTTACTTGCACTATAGAGTGTATGGTATGAGAAAGCACCGAGTTCCTGTATCACTGCCTCAGTCACTCCATAACGATGCTGAACAGCCAATCAGACGCAGATAAATCTAATATCACAGTTTAATGCATATTTGTTCTCACATAAACTTCAAAGTAATTATTTTAAGAACACATCAAGTGACCAAAACTTTCTGTGATGTTAATTTCTAAAACCAAATCAAAACTATTTTGCTTCTAATAATGATTATAACTAAGTCAAGTCCATTTCCTGCTGGACTTGAAAGAACGTTCATAAAGGAAACGATCATTAAAGCTCAGGTTGATTCTCTGATGGACTCTGGTCCAGACAGCTGGCATTTCTTCTTCTACTGATCCGACTGGTTGGAGCATCAGGTCAGTATTAACTGCCAACAGTAGAGGGGGCTGGTGGGTTCTGATAGACACTACCTCGGCAGCAGAGCATTCTGGGATTTGTAGTATAAGTGGTGAATGCTCTAGTAAACATTTTTATTCTAAATTAGTTTGAGTGTTGCCTCTCCTATAATGTATTCAGTTGGACCCGTTTGGATTCTGTTCTGACTCGGTTTATCTGCTCTGTCTCAGAGTCTCTGAGCTGCTGTGTGTCGGTGGACCAACCGCATCCTGTTGGTGTGCATGACAGTTTATCTCTGACTGCTCAGGCAACGGAAATTAGAACAAGTTGAACAGAATATATGCGGTTAAAAAGGAGGAAATAAAACCTTGATCTGCTGTCCTTCACCTGCAGATCCTAAAACATGTTACAAAGTCAGTTAAATGTAGTTTATCTGCTCATTTCTAACTGAAGTTATGTAACTGCTTCATTCTGCGGTTTTCTGTCAGTCACTAAAAAGTGTGATAAGAGCAAAATGACAGGATACCTTGTAACGAGGAAATCAGATCAGCAGCAGAGAAAAGTCTCTCAGTTCAGCAGCTGATAGACGGACAGGAGATGTTGGTTCTGGTTCTGGT